AGGGTCCCTATGAGGGATAATCCTTCTCAAATTCTTGGAACAGTGTGGACACTCAAAGTATTATTAATGAGGTTGCTGTTTAGCGATTATAAGTTATAAATTGTATTGTCTTTACATATATATGCACTTATTTCTTTTGAAAAAAATCCCCAGAAGAGGAATTTATGTTAAAGGCTTTGGGTACACTTTGCCAGACAAATCAATAAAAAGGGTGCAGGAATCCACTCTCCTGTAGGACTGAATAAAACTGCTGGTTCCCACACTAAGGTCACCGTCATCAGTGTAAGCACAAGTCTCAGCATCATTATTATCCTGCGTGTGACCCAAGGCGCGTGGTTTTTCACCTCAGAAATCAGAATGCATCTAACCATCATTGTCAACCAGATGACGGTCACGACATACGTGGTCATATGAAACCTTCAGTTAACAACAGATAAGTTCAAGAGTATCATTGTGTTTTATCCTCTATGAAATTCAGTGTCATTTGGGAGACACAAAACAAGGCAAACATACATAAAAATTACAATATAAGTGTAAAATGAATGACATGGGAAGTAGATAATGCCATTTTTAGAGAGCATCTCAGATTGAGTCTCGTAAGTATTCTGAAGGATAGAGGTTCCTGGGCTGTATTTGATACTGGGGGGTGGAGAGTGGGGCTGAGGGAGGGGGAAGTCAGTTTACTATCTCCTCCTCTCTACCTAATTCTGTACTTATTTCTGTTTTTGTTTTTTGTTGTGCACAGAGCTATGAAAGATGAAAATATCCATAGTGCAGTCTCAGCATAGAGGCCCCAGATTGTATTCCCTTGTTGATCCCCAGCAGGCCTTTGGACTGTTGTATGTCATTCTCTCTGAATGTCACCTCCTATAGGCTCTGCCCCATCACATGCTGATTTCCTGTTTAGAAATCCTCTACCATTTACCTAAATGTGGCACACCCTGCCTTTCAGTCTCAGCTTAGCCTTCATTTTAGCTGGGAAGCTTTCCTGATACACCAACACGGGTTAAGTGCTGTTCCCAGGTGTGCCACTCACCTAGGCCATTCCCTGACCTTACTCCCTGCCACACAGTGTCCTACTGCTGCTAAAAGCCTATCATCTACTATTTCCCTTTGAACTCCAAGTTTAGCACCATGTCCAGCACACGGTAGATAACTCAAAAGGTACCAAATAAATGAATCATAGTACCCACCCCATCAGTGTAACCTGTGGTTACTGGGGTCATTGTAAGTTATAGCCAGGCAGGGTCCAACATGAGTCCATTGTCTCGGGAGGATCCAGCGCTCTGCTAATTTTCACGAAGGATTGCAGCATGGATTGTGCCCTTCTGATAGTACACAGTAGTTTCAGATTTCTTTTATTTTAGACTTACTGTGATAGTCTGTCAGAGCAAACTGGCTGTGCACGTCTGCGACTCTGATTAAGGCGTCTCTTGAAACATCTGCGTGAATCAAGGCATGTTGCATCCGAGAGCCCATTGCCAGCTGTTAGCACAGTCAGAGCTGAACCCAGACACTGGAAATGAGGCATCACTCATACTCACTGCATTTAGGCTACTTGCAGTTTAATCTGAAATAAGATTTTGTTCCTCTATCTCTTTTTAGTTTCTGTTAGGATGCTCGAGTTATTTTCATGGTGACTACAGCTTGTCTAAGTTGTTAGTGGAAGTGACCAACCAGTCACTTTCTTCTGTGGTTAGAGTGAGGTGTTAAGTAAACGATGTCAGATGGTTTGAGTTTGGACTCTCCAGATTCTCTCCAAAGGTGGTACTTGTATTCAGGATCATTGGTCAAGTTCTGGACTAAACACAAGGAACAAATTCTGCCTCTCGTTTAGACCAGTCAACGTGCCCTCAAACTTGTGCTCAGTAATCAGGGACAAAAGCTGGCTTGTGTGCTGTGACTGGGGGACTCATGGAGGTGCGTGTTGACATGGATGCACTGGAGTGTATAAGACGAATGAAGAAAGGACAGGAAGTCATAGCAATGCCTGAATTCAGCCCGGGCGCCTGTGTCCTACTTGTCCTACTTCCTGACTTGTAGTATGTAAACTTCTGTATGTGGACTTTGTTTCGGAATAGCTCATGGTGATGGTCACTGTTCTCACTGTGACATCCATGTATTAGTGCCCTTTTAGGAGAATACAGCCTAAAGCAGGGAAGCTGTCACTCCAAAGCACGCCATAGTGCTTAGAAATTAACCCTGTCGGCATGATGATATTTCTTTAAAAGCCTGAAACTGTTTTTTTCTGTGCTGATCATTATCAGTCTCGGCATAGTCTTATTTATTTCATGATGAGATATAAATTAACACATACGAGTATTTATTATTTTTATCTAATCCCAAGAAAACAGAGCTGGGCTCTGCCCGACTGCTCTGCTGGGAGAGAGACTGTTGAATGGGATGTCAAACAGGGTTGTGAAGAAGAGGAGAGACTGGAGAGATCAGATCTGTCCCCTTGGTACCTCTGTTCTGCCCACCACTCTGTTGTTATGAAACACGCTCTGTAAAGCATATGTGCTTGGGGCCACTCTTACCTCAGAGTCGCAGTGGGAGAAAGTCTACAAGAACCCACCGTGATTTTTTAAAATGGCTTGTGACGTGATCTTGATGTTTTCATCGAGCTAATTTTATTAGCTAAAACTCCTTTTGTGTCAGTCAACTCATCCTCTATTATGTTCATAAGGACTTGACAGTATTTAATTCAATATCTGAGGCTCCCAGAAGTTAAGAGGGATATGGAACCTTTGGAGAGGGTTCAGCGAAGAGATGAATGAAACTGAAAATACTTTTTGAAAATAAATAAAAGTATTGGAATTTTAGTATTAAGAAAGGAGCAGGGTCAAGGTTGCATTCACGTTTCAGGAATAAGATAGTCTGCAACACAGAGGGCAGTGATGAATTGGGTTGACTATACTGTGATAAAGGCAGGAGAAAAAAAGGATTATGTGGTGTGTAACAGATTTGGCTTACGTGGAATGAAGATTTTTTCATTCTCTTGACGATTATGAATCAAGGCTCAAATTAGGAAGGACTGTGTAATTTACTTTGGAAGACCTGAAACAGGAGAAATTCATCTCTACCTGGAGTAGCAAAGAAGCCCCAAAGAAGCATACTGTGTGATTTTTTTTAGAAGAATTATTTATTTTAAGGTCCTAGATTGAAAGAGTTACAGTTAAAGAAAGATTCCTTGTCCACATCCATAAACAATAAAAGAAATGACTCATATGACTAACAGTGAGCCTTAAATCTCATTTTGGAACTACCACCTAATCTCATTTTGTGAAGGGAGATTGTGAGTTCTTAGGTAATTGCTTTCTTGATCTGCCTTAGGGTCAATAATTCTCTCTTGTTTTTAATTGTGTTAAAGTGTTTATTAAAGTGCTAATGAGACCAAAGCCGTACTGATTAAAAATACAATTATCTATTTTAAACCTTTTGATATTATGAAATCAAAGGTAGATTCTAATACTGGAAGATGGATCTTGCAGTTCTAATGACTTGTTTGCTGTACACCTAGAGTTATTTTTTTTTTTTACAATAATTTATTCCAGATTTGTTGAAGTTACAAAATGTTTAAGAAATGAAACTTTTTTTTTTATCGTAAGAGCAATTTATCCTAAGAGTTCTGGGCAGGGAGCATCTTGCCTAGTGATTTTTATAGCATCTAATTTAAAAATAAATACACGCTGCTGGGAGGCAGTCCATACTGAGAGCAGGTTTTGTTTACCGTCAACCTCTATAATTTTGTTAAATGTCTGGGATGAAGTTTTTTCTCCTTCCTGATCCTTTCCTGCTCATCACCTTTTGTTCTGCAGCCACACTTTCTATTCTTTGGAACTGCACTTTGTATCTTTCAAGTGCCATTTTCTTTTTTTCTTTTTACCTGGTTTTATTTTACTTGATACCTATTATCTTGTTATTTGTTTTATTTTACTTGATACCTATTATCTTGTTATTTAATCTCCATTTTCAGCTTCAGGTTTGTCTTTTTTATTCTGCCTCTTTTGGGCAGGTAATTGAGATTACCTCCCAATCCCAAATACTTTGCTACCTGGAAAACAGATGAGTGGTTTCCCTGCTGGAGTGCTCTGACCCAGACCTACGGCGGCTCTGCCTTCCGGGTCCCACCGTCACGCCTGGGCTCAGGCCCCCTCCGTGATCTGACCAACTGCTGTCTTCCTGCTCCATCTCTCTGCTTCTTGTCAGCTCCTTGCCTTTCCTCACACTTATTAGGACAGACATCTGTGCTGTCCCTTCTTGCTTAAAATCTGTCACTACCAATCCTTTGTCCACACAATGGAATCCAGACCCTGTAACATGCATTGAAGTCCCTGCATGAGCTGATCATTTCTATCTGCCTGGCCAGCTTCCTCTTTCCCCAGCACTTTTTGTTTTTTTTAATTTAAATTTTATTTTTAGAGACAGAGTCTCATTTGTCACCCTTGGTAGAATGCCATGGCATCATAGCTCACAGCAACCTCAATCTCTTGGGCTCAAATGATCCACTTGCCGCAGCCTCCCGAGTAGCTGGGACTACAGGTATCTGCCATAAGGCCTGGCTATTTTTTAGAGATGGGCTCTCACTCTTGTTCAGGCTGGTCTCAAACTCCTGAACTCAAGCAGTCCACCCACGTTGGCCTCCCAGAGTGCTGTGATTACAGGCGTGAGCCACTATGCCCAGCTCCCCTAGCCCATTCTTCTAGCCACATCCAACCCCACATGGCAGGTGCCGAGGAGAGGCTGAGCAAGGACATGGAGCTGGAGAATGAAGTGATGCTTAAGCCATGGGGTGATAGGAAGAGGCCCAGTGGGTTTGAGCACCAGTTGGGGAAGCATTGCCAGGGATTGGTGCCAGGGCCCTGATGCCCAGCTAACGCATGGCTATGAGGGGTGGGCAAGCCATTCTGTCCATGGGCAGAGGAAGGCTGGTTGTGAAGAGCTTGCCATCACCCACACCAGACTCTAATACCCACCACTGTTTTTGTCCCCAACCTCAGCCTGTGATGGTGATCACTGGGGGCCCCACTGCAGCAGCCGGTGCCAGTGCAAAAATGGGGCTCTGTGCAACCCCATCACGGGGGCTTGCCACTGTGGCGCAGGCTTCCGGGGCTGGCGCTGTGAGGAACGCTGTGAGCAGGGCACCTACGGTAATGACTGTCATCAGAAATGCCAGTGCCAGAATGGAGCCACCTGCGACCATGTCACGGGAGAGTGCCGCTGCCCACCGGGATACACCGGAGCCTTGTAAGTGACTGGTGCCCCGTTGGGTAGCAGAGCCCGCCCACTCTCTCCATTCGTGTTGCTGCCGCCATCAGATTTCCTGTGCCCCTGTTTCCATTGCTGCCTAAAGAGCTATGGAGGGGTCTGAACTGCAGGTGTAGATGGGAGGTCAGCAGTGATGGCCACTGAGCTCTTCTGCTGTTGGACCCTTGGACATCAGAGTACTAGGGCCAGCTTCCATGCTTTCCTTTGGCAGGACAAGCAGAAAGATTCCAGATGTTGTGTTGAATGGCAGTATTGGGGGGTAATTGGGGCAAACATGAGGTTCTGTTTTAAATCTTTCACCTTTGCATTCATTTTATTCCACTGGCTGTTTATGGTCTATGCCAGTCTGCTGTTTGTGGCTGCAGAAAGCTGGGTGGTTCAATGCCTTAGAAAAGCAAAAGGGGCAAGAAGTCATAAATGGTCCATAATAAGGGATTTACTGGTTGTTTGATGCCCATAGATACCAATGTTGCTTTGTGAATATACAGGCATGTGCAGCACCTCTGTGTAGGATATGTGCACACAGATGGTTTAATCCTTTCTGAAGAACATAGAAACAACTACTTCACCTCTGCTATTTTCTTTATTTTGTGAGAAGGGCATTCTTCAGTTTGTTTCTATTAGCAAACAGAATAAGAGGCAGATTTTGCCAAAAAAAAAAAAAAGATAAGAGATTAAAAAAAAATCTTGTTCCCTTACTGAGAAAATTACACTTATAAATCACAGAATTAAAATTCGGGAAAAAAAAGCAGCTGATTAGGTAAATACTTCCTGCCAACAGTGTTAATGTCTATAAAGTAGAGCTAAAGAATAAATTGCATTAGCCTAGAAAGCCCTCATTTTCAGGGAAATGGATGATCGTTGCAAACTGTTTAATTGTTAATATTGCTTTTATGGGTTTTCATCAAAGCCACAATTGAATAGGGCTGTGGGGAACTTGGAG